GTGTTCGCTGTGTCCCTTTCGGGCAGAAGAGCGAAATCTTACTCTTCCATGCTCGCAATTTTTGCATCTCTTCTCTTCCCTTCTTTCTTGTATTTATATATATCTTGTATGTGTGTTATACTGCTCCTGCGTCCTTTTGCTTCCCGCGATCTCTCGCCGACGAATCTTTAACTGCTCGACAGTGCGACTTCTTGTATGGTTCTTCCTCGTCTTGTTTTCCGGTGGATATCCTGTCTCAAAGCGCGTTCTGTCGTCTCCTCGGGCTGCCCGACACTCTGCCTTTTTACATGCCATTGATGTCAATCTTAAGGTTGGCCGTTTTCTTGTCTCTTTGATCCCTGAAAAATCGATGCAAGCGATTAGGACAATTCATGGTACGTTTGAAACGCAAGAAATCCTAATTGCAACGAGACGACGTTTTTATAATTAAATCGCATGTCATCAATATGTGAGATTAGATAAAATTAATTCTTTCTGGAATATAATAATTCTTTAATTTTCTCTATTATGCCACTATACATATATAACAGATATTTTTAATAATATATACACAAGAAAAAGAAAATTGCATCATCTTTAAACTATAATTATTAATATTACTCAATGTTCAAAGATATTGTAAAAGATTCATACAAATTTTGAATGTATCTATATATGAAGTATATCTAAAATTGAGTTATGAACTTTCGCAATTGTCAAAAGACGTGAGGATTCAAAACCAAAAAGTCGAAGGTCATTTCTAACGAATTTTTTAATACCGGTTCTCAATAAGTCACGTTGTGACAGTTTGAAAAAGACTCGGTCGAGAGTTCAAACGAGGATGAAAGGACAACCTACATTTGTCTTGTTACCACATGAAGAGTGTCCGCGTGAAGCTGAAGAGACGACATTGCCATTGAGTAATTTGCGTACCTCATTAGGACGTGACTGTGCTGAAAAGCGCTCTTTCACGATTTATTCAAAGCTCTCGGTCGACGAAGAGGCACACACACGGCTAAGAAAAGGAAGGTATAATAAGGGAAGCACAAGATATAGAAATATAGATAGATTGAGTTTTGTTATGTATATGAAAGAAATCTCGCAGGAACAAACAGAGATTTTATGAATAAAACGTATTTACATAGCAAGAATAGATTCAAAGCGGGGCAATGTAAATATGAAAATAAAACAACCTAAATCTTATGACAATATTTCTTCACGACGTATTAATATTGTAAAGATTTTTAAACATAAAAAGAATTATAATATCAAAAATATTAACAGTATGTTAAATAAAAATAATATATTCCATTATACGTCAAAAACATTTCATAATATAAATTTACAATACATTACATATAGAATAAAGTAATATAATTTCGAAAATAGTAAAATTATGAACAAAATAAAATTTGAATCCAATTTCATAGTTCAAGTGTTCCTTCTATTTGATTCCTTCCAATATCCTCCACACAATGAGATTATGTTTAACAAACTTGAACCTCGAAAATTGGATTATTTTATTTCATTCAGAATTGTACTGTATGTTCGAAATTGTACCCTATGTGTGCTTGTGTGTATGTGTAAAGAAAGAAATACACGACGTATTAAGTAGTTTAAGAAATATAAAGTTTTCAGTGTTTACATAAAAAGAAATTAAACGGTTTAAAGATTCAAGAAATGGAAAAGTCTTGGAAATTTTGTTAAACAAATCAACGTAAATAAATTTCAAAAACACTTAAAAACTCTTCTCTCAGAGGTAGAAAATTAAAAACTCGACTATTCAACTCAAATCTCTTGAGTCTCGCTCTCTCTCTTTCTCTCTCTCTCTCTCTCTCTCTCTCTCTCTCACGCGCGCGCGCGCACTCTTTGTTGTTCAAATTCTATAAACAATTCTATAAAAAGATTCTCCTTCATCTGTTAAAAGCGTAAATGCGAAAGGTTTTCTAATATATACGCTTGCAGAACAGAGGAAGAGAAAATATTCATAGGATTGAATGTGTTCGCTCGAAAAAGGGCAAAAGTTTTAATTTATCGAATATCTCACTAGGTGAACGTTGCGGTGCCAGACGTCTCTATAAAACGACGTGAATTAACGATGACGTGTTCGGCCGTGCCCAGCCCCAAGCGGACCGTATCGATCGTTTAATTCGAAAATGGGGAGGTCGATCCGTAGCCACAGCTTCGTTTATAGCGTGATCAATCGCAACTTTTCGGCGTCATGTATGAATAAACAAGTTGCAACACAATTGCAATTGGAAGTGAACAGTATCGATCCACCGATTTCAAAGGGTAAGGTCGAGTGATCTGAAACGCTCTTTTATAATGTCCGATCAATTTTTGACACACTTTTGCCCTAACGGGAATCCATTTTCAAACGTGTCGAATGAATTCTCGAGTCCTTCATTTCTATCTCTCAATCTCTTGCATATTTCAAAAATATACATCTTATATTTATATTCCTTCGAGATCTGTTTAAATCTTTAAAAACCAATTTTCCAACGTTTCGTATAATATAGATGTTTTTGATTAATTAATTTTCTTTTTTACAAGAGCCAATAAAGACAAGGCTATATGGAAAGGAAATAGCTAATAATGAAAAAATAAATATTTCATTCAAGTTATTGATTTTCAAATAATTCTTTGTATATTACATATATTTTGCGATTTAACAGAACCTTGCTTAAATTCTTATATTTTTCTAACTTTGACATACATGATTATTAGCTCCTTTTTAAATGAAAAATGATGCAATTTTTTTTTCTTGACATGCCTATTACATATTGAATGTCATAAATAATGTCACAGTTGTTGTAAGCTTTGCCGAAATATTGCTGTCGTTTTGAACAAATGAATAATTTCACCAGCTTCATTTAACGCGACTTAATTACTTAGTTAATTAATTAGTTCAATCCTTTTAGTGGTTGGATAACCTGTGAACTGAACTTAGTTCAACCCTTAAATTACGTAAGTGGGATCGATCCTTAAATGTCCGACGAATCTTCCTTCATCGGCGGAAATACGGTCTTGATTAAAAGCGGAACCTCAGAATCATCGTTTTGTCTGACTTTCCTCTTTTTTTATCTTACATGGCTTTTTATCGTACAATCTTTCCAATTCATTTTGCTTAAACGGATTAAAGTTAAACCAAAAAATAAAATAAACGTTAACATATCAAACCCACTTTGTTTTTTATACAATGATTTAAAAAAATATACGTTCCGATAATGTAAGAATAGAAAACAATTGCATTTCAATGAAATCTAAAACTGTATACAACATTTATCGTATCAAAAAATATAGTTAACAATATTTTATTATCAAGGATCCTAATTGTTAATAAAAAATAATTTTAGTCAATAGAATTAATCCTATTACTTTATATAGTCAATGTTTTCCCAAGCGTTACTACTGCCGATTAGTATAAAGTTGCTACAGGATGGTGCATAGTGCTCGTCATGTCTATATGGTATAGTAAAACGAAAACAGATTTGATACAGCTGAAATAAAAAAACATACAGGAAAGGAAAGGATTTGTATGAAGGATATTACATCGTAAAGAACGAGCAAATCGACAAACAGGCATCAATAGAGGAGTACGAAAGGAATACAACAGGAAAAAGAGAAAACTTGAAGTCTAGGATTGAAACCATATAATTTAGATGAGTTCAATTTTCAATGCTACGATAAAATTTACCTTGCTATCAAGTATCGCATTTTCATCAGTCAGAAATAGATATCGAGATCATTTTTGCTTGTCTCCAACATTGAATTCTGAACTCTTCAAAATTATAATTTAGTCTCTGTTTGGAATCGTGCAAAAATTCAAAAGAGAGAAAATCATAAAAAAATAATTCAAAATAGATCAAAAATTGATACGCGTTCCGATCGTAGAAACGGGAACGTGTATCTCAATCGAGCGATAGAGAGATAAAGTGAGATAGAAAAAAAAGAAGGAAAGAAAGACGGGCAGATTCGCCGGATTTCACGTGATCGGTAGGCGATTAACGACGGATAATTGATAATTGGCACCAACGCACGAGAGCGCATCTACTATTCGGATACGAGTCCTCAACGGGACAGCCGTCGTCGATCTTTCAACCAGATTTAATTGGCCTTCGAAGTGACGGCTTGTCTAGCGCCTCGAGGCATAAACGCTTTTGAGGGCAAAATCGCGTGAGTTTGATCGAATAATGACCGAATAATTGGATCCAGGATCCACTGGGCCCAATGCATTTCGGTACCGGCGACAAAAGTAAAGATCCGAAATCAATATTATTTCAATGATGTCTTCTATGCTATGGATGCAGAAAAATGCCATTTTCACAATTTTAAATATTTTTTTTTTTTAAGTCATTTTTTATATCTATAGCATCAATATATGTAAATTCGAGATTATATCGATTTCGGCTCCTAGACGAAAACGCACAGTTATGCTCAGAGTTCCAATAAAATATATTGTTCTAAAAAAAATTTTTATTTTTAAGTAAATTTATTATTTAAATGTGATATTTGTATTTATATTTTAAATATTATTTTATTCGTAATATCATACATATATGTTTTCAAATTATGCTATTGCTTTCTTTATAAAATTCTAATTTCATTATATTGTAAAGACATAAATTGCAATTTTCTTTTAAAGAAATATTATTAAAACTTTATATTTCGTGTTATCTCTTCATGACTCAACAATATATTCGTTAAATAGAGTACCAAGATAATATATTCATATTTTCCATACATATATAATTAAGCGTTATAAAAGTGTTTTTCTTTAATGAAGTATTTTGAATTTCATAATATATAATATATAATAACAATAATTGTTACACTAAAATAAAATAAGAAAATAATATAAAGTATCGACGAAAGCACAACCCTACGTATTCGCCGTCGATCGCATTTCCGCGGAGGCGGCTCTACTATAGGTCGGACCACCCAGAGCCTCGTGTATGTGCGAAAGTCTCGTGCTAGACCAACGTAAACACTCGTGCTAAGGACTTTGGCGCATAAGCAAGGCCTCTGGGTATTCGGAGGTACGGAAGCTCTACTCTTGACCGCAACAAATACTCTCATCGAGGCTCTCTAGTCTCTCGGCATGTGTTAAGTGCGCAAGAAACGCCCTCGCTAAAATCCTCGTGCGTGCTAGGGTCTTTCTCGGAACCAACATCTTCGTTCTATGAATAACGTCAGAACAAACACCGATGGTTTCGAGTTTAGGAATACCTCGTATAAAACCTTCGCCTAGTTCACATAGAGCCGCCCCCCGCGTTCTTTGCAACGGTCTATCGTAGCATAAAGTGGAACCTACTTCGATCCAGAGATTTGTAAAGCCCACCTCGGCCATTTTTGACTTTGCATATTCGATTCGTATCGCTCCCCGGTCGGAGGAGAGGAGAAAGGATCCTTGGAGAGTGGCCATCGCCTGGGCCGCGTAGCGAACGTCTTGATATTCGACAAAGGCCACTGGCGACCCTCCCTTCGTGTGCATACGAAGCCGGGAGAAACCAGGAAAACTGTGCACAAATAAGAGAAGCGTACAATACGTGCTCTAGTTAATCGTAAAGACAGTACTCTGGTAAAAGGGGAGTTTAGAGAGGTTTTAGGGGGGTTTGGTTACTGCTTGGTTGCCATTAATGGTGTCGGTGGTGTCAGGCGGTGCCGACATGGGGTGATTACACGGAAGGGATGCGACACAAACTCAGGATCAAATTCAAATCGTTAACAGCTGTAAATTATTTCCTTTAGCATATATGTGTGCTAATTATTTTAGGGGAATTTAAGGTGTACAGAGATAATTACATACATATATACAATACATACGTATAATATAATGTATGTAATGAAAGAAAATTATCGAAGTAAATTAAGTAATAAAATAATTTGTACAATTATTATTTTGCAAAATCTTTAAATATGTACAATACTGCACAAATCATTGAAATTATTTTTTAAAACGTAATCAAATGTTTGAAAAATTATTTTAAAAAGCATATCTATTATGTATATATAATTATATATATACAAATATATATATATATATATATAACACATGGATCAATAAGTCCCGAGACTAACCCAGATATGGCGCTCGTAGTAAACCAGTAACCACGTCTTTCTAGAGTACTAACCTTTGCTTGAAACGTGTCAAAATTTTAAGTCGATCGGACTAGAAACAGCTGAGTTATCGAGGTTAGAGTAAAGTCGTTTTGTAGTTTGTTTAAAAAATGGAAAAAACCGAGTTTCGTGTTCTGATAAAACATTGGGCTTTGATCTGCTTCCCCACCCCCCATACTCGCCAGATTTAGCCCCCAGTGACTACTGGCTCTTTGCTGATCTTAAAAAAATGCTCCAGGGAAAAAGATTTGGCTCAAATAAGGAGGTCATCGCTGAAACTGAAACTTATTTTGAAGCGAAAGATAAATTTTTTTATAAACATGGTATTGAAAAATTAGAAAAGTTGGAACCATTGTATCACCCTAAAAGGTGATTATGTTGATGAATAAAAAAAAATTTTGCAAAAAAAATGTTGTTTTTATTGTTAGTCTCGGGACTTATTGATCCATGTGTTATATATATAATTTGCATCATTATTTCTATTGTTATACTTATATTCATTTTATAAAAGAGATTATTTATAGAATTCATATTTTCCTTTCTATGTACTAAGTTCCTTCCTAATCGTAATCCTTTCGCATTAGGTTTACAGTGCATTCACAAATCCGCGAGCGATTAATCGTTCGCGATGTAGAGACATTACCCTCCGTGCAAACCCGTTCAGCACACCGACAATTAGTAAACGACACTGGTCGCATGGTATTGGTACGGGTACTAGTACAGGTGCGTCCTATGCCTACAATCTACGACGGTGGCAAATGATTAGCGGATGTCAGTGATGGTTGGAGGCGGTGCTGTTAGTACAAAGCTTTCGGCGTTCACGACGGACTTACACAATTTCGACCATTATTGCGCCCTCGGCATGACGATTAAATTTAGGTGCAGATACTTGATACTTTGTCGTTTGCTCGGTATTCTTTAATTACTATGGTTATTAATTTAATTTGCCCGTTTGTTTATTTACAAATCTATAAGGAGAATAAATCAAAAGTAATAAATTTAATGATTCACAGACTGATGTACAAATCTATAATCATATGTAAGCTCACAAATTCATAGATCTATAAAAACATGTAGTCTTAAAAATTTGTATTAAATATCTTCTATTTGATAAAAACAATGTACCCTTTAATTAATTTAAAATCCATTTTTAATAAAAAATTTAAAAAATTTTTTTCTCTTGAAAGCTATCAAAATTTAAAATTAGTAATTAAGTATCATAATAATTATATATTAATTAATTAAAGATTGGGATTTCTGAGATTTATTTAACAAAGATTTAATATATTTTATAAAAAGAAAAAGAAAACTTAAATAAATCTTAAATAGAAAAAATTGTTAATATAAAAAGAAATATAAAAAGAATTAATATGAAGAATAAAATTAAATCTCATATAAATCTCAGATAAATAAAATTTTTTATATAAGATTTCCAGTTTCTAAGCAATTAATTTTCAAAATTGCATGAAAATATTTTTAACAGAGTATGTTTATAAATGTTCCCTTTTCAATTAAAAAAACTAAAGAACTATGTTTAAAATTGTGCATATTTTTGAAGCATTGTTTACAAATCTTTCTTTAATTTATATTTCTCCTTACTTAGTGTAAGAGATTAATTCCTAAATACTAATTTCTAAACAATTATTTTTATAAATAATCTGATATGATACGCGTTCCATGATCAAAAATATTTTCGCACGATTATAAAATTTTTTGTCTTGACAAATGTACTTTTTCTCAAGCGTATCAACGTGAAATAATTACCCGTATAAGAACAACAGTTGAATTACATGTGACGAGGACAATGTATTCACATCCGTCGACGACGAAATTCCGTCGAATACTCTCGTGAGCTACCGAAAATTGTAGAATGCGCAGGGCGCCTCTCGCACGTGCAAACGCGTGTAATTAACTCAGGCACTCACTTACGAATTCATACTGCAGAACTCTGGGGTTTGCGGGATAATGAGATTTCGCAGGCTAATTATACGAGGGGAGGAAGAGCTTCTCTATTGGCGTTAGAACTTGCGAGACAGTCGCGCGCAGACTTCCGTCAGCTGCGAAACTCGAAAGAGTAGATCGCGTCTTCTAGATCGTTATTCGTACCCTGTGTGTTGAAGACGCTGTTATTAGCAATTCTTAATATTTTGTATCTCGAGTATCGATAAACCAATTATTTTATAACTAACGTTTGGTGTAACAAGAATAAATAATGTTTAGACAAAAAATACAAATTCAAAGATATACAGAAAAAAAATTTAGATAATATATAAATTGTGATAGTGTCTCATAAATAATAATAACAATATGATAAATTTATTTTATACACTCTGCTTTTCATTACAAGAAACGAAATGCAATTGACATATTTGAATATAGAATAGTTAATATGTTCAAAACACTTCTGTCAATGTATGATTTTTCACTTTTTCATTACTGTGTGTATCACAAGGTTCCTATTAAAAATATAAAAGTGTAAACAAGATAAATCCTGTGGAAAACTATTCTTTGTTCGAAGAATAGAGTTTTTGAAACGTTATAACAAAATTTACATAAAAATATAAAAACTTTTACTTTCCTGCTATTAAATTATCTTAAACTGAATAAATATATTTTGATTTCTATTTAAACTCTTTCGATCCAATAATCACTTGTGCCTAAGATAAATTATATATACTTGACTTTATAAATAATTAGACATTATATTCTTTTCTTTTTTTACAATTATACATTTTTTACACTATGATAAATATGTAACTATTTTTTACTCTATATTAATATTTAAATCCTAATTTCTGCGTTTTTAATTTTTCAGTGAACTGCATAAAAATATGAAGTACGTCATATCATTTTGTTAATTCATAATTTTTATAATTTAACTATCAAACTCTTTTTTTCTTTTTCTGCTATTTTTTTAATAACCATAGTAATCGGTATCAAAAATATCAAATCCTCCAACTACTGTCAATATTCTATTAAATAAAAAGTATCTACAAGTATTATAGTAGTATTATTTTGCGATGCAGCATACAAAAATCAATTCATGTAACTTTCTCTTCGTACATAGATAATAATTATTGCAATTCCGCGACTACAAACACGTGATCGAGGTTCGCAGTATTAATCAAAGGTAAATGAACGACTCTGCCGGATTTTCAATTTTTCCCATTCCTACGTAAAAGTATATGTACAGCGGATATTAGCTGCGGTCTAACCGATTTAATGTAGACATATCGAAAGAGTTCGTAATTCTCGATTCAATGATTCACGACGTACTGGAGGCGTACTCAGGATCGTGGGAAGGTTCCGCATGGTAGGGCACGTGAAAATAATTTATTACACGAGCGCAACTGTAATGCCCGGCCGGATAACATATTTTAACTTCGCCGCTTGTTGGATAGCTGACACTTAAGCGAGCAGTTTAATTGCGAATATCTCCGTCCGTAATTAGCGGGTTATCATGTTTAATTACAATTTTACATTTTATATTTTTTTAATGATCTAAAAGTTTCGCCCATAATATATACCAATTGGAAACCGCGTAAAGTACGATAATATGATAATTAATAGTAAATATGCTATTCCGCAAATTTTGCAAGCGTTCAGGAATGGTAAGAATCGCATATATTATGCGCTATTCATGTATGCTTGCGATGTATACTTTTTAACTACATTTTTTGTCTAATGCAAAAAATCCTTGAACGCATATCCTTGCTAAAGTTATATAACTGTAACGACGTAAATCACTAAGAGCATAATAAGTTGTTTCTATAATAAACGCAAAATTTCCGGTCTTTAATCTATCCGGAACTTATTCATATAAATTTTAATTCAAAAATTGCTGACTTTATAAATATATATGATAATTACAAAATTTTTTTATTTAAACATATATATTGACAAATTCAATTATTAGACATTCAATACAGATTCAATAATTCTAGAATTTACATAAGTAAAAAATCTACAAGAATGAAGAGATCTATTAATATTTCCACTCTATTAATTTCTCCACTAAATAAAGTAATCTAAAGGTAAAATAAAAAATATTTTAGAATTCAAAAATTTTTTATCTAAAAAATTATCCAGAAAATTTTTTTTTCAAAAATCGAGGTTTAAAAAATTCAATGGTTCCAAAATTTGTATTTTATTCATAAATATCAAAAATGTTTTTAAAACCGTCCTATTCTTGCTGTTCGTTCATCAAAAATTGCAAACGTTTCAAACACACCACGACATCGTGATATCACCACCACGTGGTACACTGATAAGACCCACGTGTATCGGTACCCGTATCGCAATTGGTGCGCATTTACCGCCAGCATGTGTATGTCATATAAACATACGTGACTTGGTTCTTTTAAGTAATTTATTATCATTGCTATTATTATGATTAATATACGTATTTTCTGACATTTTGCATTAAAATAGAATTAATTATCTATATACTCTTATATTATGATAAACGTAGTCTTTAAATGTTTTAAGCATCAATATTGCATTAAATTGAGATCCCGCTAAAAATTGTAATATATAGATACGTAGATAATAATAAGAACATTTAATTTCATAACTATCTGTTTTATTAAGACTTTTCATTAAAATTCAGAGAAACGAAAAAATATTATTCTAAAGTTAAAAAAAACTTTAACTGATATACATACTATTTCTGCAAATTTATCTAACGACGCCTACACCTTTACTATACAGTAATGCACACAGCTTGATGCAGACTAAAAACTGTCCTTAGGAGCTTGATAATCACACATATGGTGTAGGTCATAAAATATATAAATATAATAAATCGATAAGCGAGTCAACCGACTAGTGAGCATATTCGATTGGCTCGCATCCGGCTATGAATTAAAAGAATAAGTAAACAGTTAAGATGTCTGACCTGCTGAAGATGTCCTTTAGCTCATGTTCGGACACGAATTGGCCCAGGTTCGCCACGAAGAGGGTGGAGCACTGCGCATTGCTGACGGCTATGTTCGGCTGTGACGAGGGTGATCCGACCGGTGACGCCAGTGCCGGCGACGGTAGAAAATGAGGCAGCGACGCGTGTATCGACGTCAACGTCGTAGGATGCGGCAGGGACATAGGCGCCTGGAAAATATAAATACTTCTGTCATACACTCGCTGCGCTTGATCGTGAGTAGTCGGTCTGTTCGCACAGATCGACGCATTTGCGTCAATCCGCCCCGTTTTTTTAACCCTACATTTCTCCCTACAATAAAAAATTGTATCTTTTCTGACAAAAACTAAAGTCTAAAGATCGTCCCGATCTTTAGACTTTAGTAGATGAATGTATAGATACGAACGATATTCTGGCAAAGAAAACATCGACCAAAAAATATACATTTGCGAAAATATTGAAACAAATAAGCATCAAAAGAACTAGAATCTAAGAGAAATTTAAATTGAGTGTGTTCTGAAGTTAGAATTTAAATATAAGGTATTCCAGAATTTTCCAACACTTTTTAAGACGATAAAATAAAATTTTTGTAAAATAAACACATCTTATCATATATCCCTGAAGTCGCTTTTTATTATTTGTAATGTTTATAATTACAAATACGTGTTAATGCATATGTTTATAATGTTTGTAACTATAAATGCATGTTAATGTCTGACAAATATTGAAAGTTTTTCTGGAAAATAAAGCCTCGTATAAAAAAATTGTATTTTACATTTTCGATATATATTTTTAAGTAAAATCATTTTCTTCATTTGTACTACCAGTATTGAAACATTCTGTATATCTTCTAGATGTCTTTCTTGCTGGAATATTATATTTATGTTAATGGTGACATTATGCAATAACTGCTCTTTATAATAATAACTTTAAATTATATGTTCAAAGCGCTATGAAAAATAGTCGACTATTACTTTTAATAACAGATAAAAACGACTAAAATTAACTTTTTTTTTAAACATCTTCTTTTAAATATCGTGCTTAATAGCAAAGTTATTTCAACAGTCACCTACCAACAATATCTACTTTTTATTGAGAAATTAAAAATAATAATTGATATAAATAAAGTTAATCTTTCTCTCACATTAAAATAAATTATATAACGTAAGTAAACGCAGCAGATTTCTTATTTAACTATACATAAAAATATGTTTGTAAAAGATATCATTAACATGAAAGAAATGATTTTAAATCATTTGCATTGAGTATCATTATTAACTTATCAAAGTAATGATAAATCTCGCCAATGACATTCAGTATCGTCAAGTCGCTCCAGAATGCATTTAATCGAGTTGGATCGTAGAATATACATATTCAACTTAATAAGTTCTGACGTTATTGCTACCAGGTTCTCGGTTCGTTATTCCTTGAGTGGATATCTCGAGATTCGCTTCCTTTTTACTTCCGTTAAAGGAAAAGCAAGATGCGTACGGAGAAAAAGGAAATAATAATAGCTAGCAGTCCGGACTCAAGAGCTTTCGATTTATCAAACGTTCAATGCAACGGATTTTCTCTCTCGTGCGGATAAATTCAAGGAATATCGGATTTTAGTAATAATGATATTTTATGTTTGAAATTTTGTGTGAGCTTTAAAAAAATTAGCTTATAAACTTTCAATCACTTCTAAAAGCTTTCTCAATATAACCGTTTTAAATTTTTATTGAATCGATAGTCTGTTGTATAATAAAAATTTCACGTATGACTATTATATACTGACTTTTCTTGTGTAAAATTGTTTATAAAAATTTAATTTATGTTTTACAAACAAGTATAGCAGTTTTTTTTGTAACGGCATTAAGTAACAAGAAAGAATCACAAACTTATTGAATCTTAAATATTAGAAACTTTAAGATTGAAGCAAGAATAATTTATAGATTTAAAGAGCTTTATTGAAACGATAACTCAAGAGTATAATCCAATAATAAAATGTATCTTTCAACGAATTTGATTATATAAAAATATTTACCTATATCTAAAATGTAAAAGAATGATATCCGATCAACAAACCTAAGTATAATTTTTTCTAATGTAATTTACCTATATATAAAAAAATCCAAAAGTTCTTGAATCAGTCATAGCATTCAAAGTCGAGCATATTTATCTCTCCAAAAATTTTAAAATTTTCAACATCAATTTACAATTTTCAATCAAATATCGAGATATATTTACAAAAACATTGATCACGATTCTTTTTCCATTCGCATTCTCGATTAATCCGTGATTCGCTGTGGCGTGTTACAGAATAATTTTAGTCGCTATTACAGTATAAAAAACATCACATAATATCATACGCAATGCGATCGATAAAATAACAAATTATATCGCGTTTGTACACATTTATGGTCGCATTATTTGCTTTCGTAGAAATTAATAGTTGTGTGTTTTACGGACGTTAATGCGTGACAGATATTTGTGTAAACCTAGGTTCATGCATTAAAAATTAATAAGTTATGTGATTTGAATTGGTACCATCGGACCGATATCGACAATAAAGAGGATTAAAAATGTACTTACGCTGAACAATTTTCCGATTCTTTAAGAAACAAACTTCTCTTGGACATTAGTCTCTTCTTTTAGTGTTTATTAATAGATATGAACTTTTGATAATATGAAAAATCATAAAATAGAAGAAAGATTCCTCTTTTCAATTTTATACTAGATTCTAATATAAATTTAAGTAAAAGATAAAATTCCAAGAATAGAAGACTGATATGGAAAATATTTGTACCCTCATTTCTATACTTCTCTTCTCATATCTCTTCATTTAACTTTTCATATATCCTTACATTAGATACTGCTAATTACCTAACATGTGGCTTATCGGTGTTATTTATGGTTTCACCTTATATTCTTCATCTATCTTCATTAACAACCATGAAGTAACCCCGAACTGTAAATATCATCAACGCAACATCCATAAGTTTTAAATTCTCTTCCCATAAAACGACGGAAAATACGTACGATGCTATTAGAAAAAAGTAAACCACGGATTTATTAACATCGGCCATAATTAATCCATGTCTCGACAAACTACGGAGACATCGTAATAGCTTCGAAACTCTGCGATTCAAACCTTGCGTGACATACACCTACACGACTACACATTTCTATATAATACATGAGGACACGCAGTGCGACGACAAGTTACGCTATCGATTTTGAGACGATATAAAAAGTAATATTCGAATACACTGACTGACGTTACACGCGTATGCGGAAAAGTTGCTATTTATATAGTAATCCGCATAATATTATTCATTGGTTATCCTATTAATTCTGGTTTTATATAATGGTTTTTTTTATACTAAGTTATCATTATCGCATCAAATTTTAACAAACTTTCTGATTCAATTATCACCCCGACCTTTTTTCAACAAATATTTTAAATTATAGACTATTAATAACCCGGGCAAAAATTTTTATATATAATCATGTATAAAATTATTTCCCAGATATTAAACTGATTTATGATACATATATATCTATTAGCATTCAGTGTTCATAAATTATCGAAGCATCAGTTCCCGTAAGATCACAAAAGTTAAGCAACGTTAGTCAGAGTACAGCTTAGGATGGGTAACTGATTAGAAAGATCTTGAAATTGTATATATACTTTCCAAATATATTATTTTTTATTATAATTTTATCCTATGTAATCTCATCTTTCTAAAAAGTAATACTACTCAATAAATAAAAATACTAATCAAAAAATACTAATCAATAAATTTCTTAATTTTTTAGCAATTTTCTATATATGATATAAAGCAAAATATTTGTATATAGACATATACGAGTATAATCATATATAGTCATATATTGTTATATATAATTGCATAAAATTTTTTCCCGAGAATAAATAACATTTAAAAAATAAAACTTTAAACATATAAAAAATAAAATCTTATAACCGTTATTTATTTTCATTTCCATAATTATATAATTTAAAAAACTAATAATTACAATGGAAAATATATTAGATAATTCGCTCGTATAAATTTCAAAAATAAATAAGGAACTCCTACCAAGTCATTTCAATAAACGAGCTCTGAAAAGTATAAATAGTAAACTTTATTATTCTTTTATTATAATTTCACACGGAACGTTTCGACTATTCTAAGTCCTCATCAGCCGTGTTTATGAATGAAATAAAAAACCATGAAACACTAACTTATAGACATAGTATACAATTTCTAAGTGTTGATATGTCTATATAAATTATTGTTTCGGGGTTTTTTATTTTATTTATAAACACGGCTGATGAGGACTTAGTATAACCGAAACGTTCCGTGAAATTATAATAAAAGAATAATAAAGTTTACACCTTTCAGAGCTCATTTATTGAAATGACCTGGTAGAAGCTCCTTATTTATTGTTAAAAAACTGACAAAAATTAAAAATAGAAAATTCTAAATTTACAAATCAACTATTGTCTAATGAATAATTGTTCACAATGCGATAATAATAAAGTACTTTATGTATATATTGCGCAATATAATTCGCATAAAACAATAGATATTTTTTTCCAGAAAAAATGGGGATTTAAAAATTTACGCGAGATTCAAAAATGCAGAAATTGAAAGCTTTAGAGCATCTAAAAAACAACCGGAAGACTAAAACGTTATAAAAAATTCAATATCCAAGATTCTATAGAATTTAGGAGTCGAGGACTCAAGGCAACCATGATTGAAAGCATCTTCAGTCCTTGAGTCCTCATGAATCTCCTCGTTACCATGTAAGAGTAATCGAGTATAACGATCATGTATCACTAACGTGCATCGGGGCGCTCGTCGGCGGCTCCAGAGCTTTGTCTGCAGATAGTCAAAGATAGGAACGTACGGGGACCTGAGGATGTAACGCCGGATGCACCAGCGTCGCATGTTGCAGCGTGCCCGGTAATTCGCCAGCTGTAGAGTACGCCAATGGATGATGCCACAATTCAGGACCACCGGGGAAGAACGGACTCCCTAGGTCTGCAATAGAGCACAGGATTAGATAAAGTCGCTCCCCCGAGTAATTTAACGCGTGGTTGCGAACCGCGTTGCGAACGCGCGTTTTTGATAGCCAGGATATCTACTGATATCTGGAAATGCCAGAAATGAACTTTTATCTTGATACCAAATATATCACAAATATATTGCTGCGTTAATAGAAAAGTGACACAAATAAAAAAAACTAGTACTTTTTAAATAATAAAAAGAAATCAATCCCCTCTCCTTAAGACTAGCATATTGTAAAAAAACAATACATTGGCAATACATTGCTTATATGTATACTAATAAGGGATAAAATTATAACATAACCCTGTAGGATTGCAGTATTCAAATTTTGAAAACTTCTAACATGGTTTTAAAAAATACGTTGTAATTATAAAATACGTTAAAAATAATTTAAAAATATATTAAAAATATCATTTGGAAAGAAAAGTAAAATTTTGCTTTATATTAGAATATACTAATTAAAACATTGCTCTATTTCACAAAGAATTTTAGAAATGCTTTACTAAAAAGTTATTAATTATAAGTTGTGTCATTTTTCTATCACGCGATATTTGAATTTAATATAGTAATATTTTTCAAATAAAATAATATTATATAAACAAAGGATGATTGAATGTTGACTATACATGTATATATTTTTTAACAAAATTGGTAAAATCATTCGTAATTAAAAAATTTAAGTGAAAAAATGAAAAATAAATTTAGAAATTTTATTAAAAATAAAAGTATATCAGAATGTTAAAAATTTTGCTTACATACATACAGTAGATATCCTGTTTATTGTAATTATTTATATTAGTTTTTTAAAACTTTTGGACGGCTTTTATGTAAAGTTTTGCTAATTTCAATATGTGAAATATAGTTTTACATTCCTTCTTATAGAAAAATTTATGTATAATATTTTTCTATTTATTATAATACCTTTTACGTAAAAGCTGCCTATCGATCTTTGTTCTTACAAAATTAATGATATTTATTATTAACAGGTCTCGAAACCGTGTTATTCACAGTCAAAACAAGTTATTTAAATATCGCATAAAACGGTTCGAGGTAAAACGCACTTTGCAATGCGGCCAGAAAGGTCGCGCCAATTTGCCACGTATATTATTTTAGCATTGTAATCGCGCTAGTTTCGATGCACTCTTTATGGAGAATACACAAAATTATTTGTCCTATTTACGATTGAGATTAAACATGTGTCTGTAAAAAAATTAATTAACGTAATTCACGTAATAAATGTTTGCTCATGATTAAAAGAAAGTGAACACAATTTAATCGACATTTTGCGAGACTACCAATTACCTAATCGATAATATCCAATTTACAAATTCTCTTTTTTGCTACAAATTACGGAGACTACAAAAATGGAAACGAAATCATGATATTCCGAGAATTTCCGAAAATTGAACGACGAGATTAAAAAAAAATCAATGAAAGCTCAGATGTATTAAGGATTATCTTGATTTATTCTATTAATTGTAATAAAATAATAATTCTAAAATTAGATTATATTTAAATTATTATTTATTAATATAAATTATATACAATAATAAAAGCCATAAATTTCTGTGTGATATTAATATCAATGTCAATGTAAAAAGTTAATTCTTTACAAACTTAATTTTTGTATGTTTTCTTATTTAAAATAAATTAATTAATTTAGCAGAGTTATTTAAATTACAAAAGATTTTAAATATTTATTTTGCCATGTAAAATATGTCTTTCTTTTTAAATTAATGTTTCTTCTTATAATTCAAATTCATTCTTAATGTTTCAATTTTATCTATTTTTTCTTTATTTATAAACAAATAATAGACTTTTTATAAGTAACTAGTAAAAATTCATTTATCGCTTAAATAAAATTTAGGAGCTTCGTGTCGCGAATATTACCACTCGAGGGAGCACCACGACGCAGATTATTCGCGATGTAATGGCAGAGTATAGTGTGCCATCGAGCGTAATCGCCGACGGCACGACATGAAAAAAATGGTCTTCTTGGAGCCGGTAAATCGTTGGAGAGGGACTTATGATTAGACGTTACAAGCCAGTGACAATGGTCAAACCGAGCATATCTTCCCAACGATTCATCTGCGAACTTTTACTTGTGACTTCGTTTGCGACACTAATCTCGTTACGCAATTCATATTTATATTGTTTTCCTCAAAACAATTTAGTTATTTAATTCTAATTTCTAAGCGTTATCAACTTAATGGCGTGTATCTAACTGTACGGTTTTACCATCCTGAAGAAATTCAAATGGTAAAAATATTGATGAATTTTTTCAGAATACTGAAACTTTTTTTGCCTATTTGCTCCTCTTTTTATTGATATTGACATAAATGATTGCTACTGCAAATGTAAAGTAGCAAGAAACAGCAGTGACGAAATTGATGCAGATCAATATAAAGTTTACCTCTCCGCGTAGAACCGCGCCTTTCCCGTCACGAATGCGCAATTACTATTTTTTTACTACTATATGAATTGCTGAAGCCACAGTGGCAAATATATAACAAAACGCTCTTTCATACAACCTCTTTCACATACCGCGATCGAATATCACGAAACATTCGCATCGTTCACATATGTACGTCAGCGTGACTAGATAGCATGTGTATCTGCTCTATTTCTTTCGAGCTTTAAAGCCAGTTATTATCTTGCATAGATCTTAATGTGAGATAAAAATAACTTTGGCATCAATACATTTACAAAGATTTGTTACTGCAATAATGTATCTCGATGACCTGATAAACAAAATTATATATAACTTTCTATAATTCTCATATAATTGTAATTTAATTGCATAATTGAATTTAACCAAAATTTCTTCAACAGCATTTGTCCAATTTTGATTTTCTTATTATTAATTATAATTTTATTACCAGAACTTTAACATCACATAGTAAAAATTAAATTATAAATTATAATTTTTAATACAATATATACGAGTATATATATATAATATAATACCTATATATTTATAATTACGTAATGCAGCTAATTCTGATTAAACTATCATTAATCGATGATAGTTTATACGTAAAATCATTTTACAAATGTGGAAAATAATAAACAAATAATCAGAATTTTAATTATGGAAAGCTACATAATACGATTATAAAAAAATATATTTCAGATCACTCAGTCCAATTAATCAAAATCTTTTTTAGTGTGAGCGTGATTTCAAGTTATGAGGCGTCGAGTAGCTTGCCGCTCGGTGTGAATGACTCGCGATTATCTGTGGATTCTGGTTTAATTCTACATATGCGATTTTCTGATTGAATCTGGTGATTAAGAGATTTTTGATCATCAGCGCCGTTTCCGGCGTTAAACTGTAGGTCCCATATATCAGTGGATATGTACGGATCCCCCAGGCTGGAGAGATTGGATAGTAGGCTAACAATCTAATTTCGGAAAATAATCCATTGTTATAATACAAAAACCTCATAAGTGGTAGGCCCTATCTATCGTCTGAAACGTCATTGACATCTCGAGCGGAACCAATATCAAACCGTGTTATAAATCCCGTTGTTCTTCTACCAACATCGGCAACATATCCCAAAGGTGCCGGTATACAAAAATGCATTTTATTTCGCGTATTTGATGAAACGAAGAAATCTCCCACTTTGGTGATTTTTAGGCTTTTCATAGTACACTCGGTGCGATTGACTGTTTAGTCATATGCATGACTAAAAACAACATATACAATTATAACATCTGCACAACATCACTATAATGATTCGCATTGTGCTTGGTCTGGAAATAATTGATTCCTCGGTCATTTTGATCATGATTCCTCAGTCATTTTAAATTGGAACAAAAAATACTAAAACACGTGACGCATACTTGACACGCGCGCATACAAGTACAGGCAGAAAATGCAATGAACACATAATCTATTACAACATCCAATGTAAGCAGTAGGATGCGTTTTATATTTTCAATTTTATGTTTTATTCATTGAAAAGGACCATATTAAGAGTCGAAACGTGGCGTTTGAAATTTTGTATTTCATTAATGTAACAATTTATAAGAAATATACACTGCACTCGAATATCAGCCGGGCTTGAATAGCTCATATTTAACCTATCAAAATTTTTTCCTTTTTTTCTCTCTTTTTCTAATAAATTAATTTCTAAACTGTGTTGAGACGTAACTATTCTATATATTCTATTTTATATACAGGGCATCGCACAAAATGTCATACTATTTGCTTTATACATATATTGTATAATATTTATTTTTACAACAAAATTGGTACAGAAATAGTATAGAATTAATTACCAAAGCCTGGAAATTGGATAATTAAATGGTATGACATTTCGCCATCCTGTTCATGAAAACTAATTATATCTGCAACGGAAATCGTACTGTTTCCGTCTGCAAGCCAACATTTTTATGTAACAAGAGAATTGTAGCAATTTAATTTTCCAAAAGTTGGGCAACTATTGTAAATCCCATGAGATCTCCTGAGATTTGTATTGTTCTCGCCCCTCTTCTCCCCTTAAGAGAAGAACTGCCTTTATTTCCATTAAAATGTGAACGTTCGCCAACAGAAGCTACTGCATAAGCCCTTATGTGTATAGGTCTGCCATTCGGTGGTGTGTTTTAGTCCCTGTCAGGACTGTGCACTTTATTGATTCTAGGCTGACCTCCGATTCGCATGGCGAAGCACACAAGCTCGAGTAAACGTACACCGTCTAGGTAGGGAGAAAGCTTTCACCGTTGTCGACGATCAGACTTTTTTTTTATTTTCTTTTCATTTATTTCGCAAACGACAAGTGAATCCAATAAATTGGAAAACAATGCGTTACCTTTCAATTCATTTAACTATAAAGACATCGATTTATTAAACAATTACAAACGTATTTGTAAAAAAATCTCTCATTTTCTGCATTAATTTCTAAATTGAGCTTCATCTATAATCGACAAAAAATCGACAATAGAAAAATATATAGAACAAGAATTAATTAGTA